TGATTGGGGGGTTCTTTAAAGGCTAGCCTGTCTTCTCTATTTTTCCACAAGCCCCACCGCTCCCTTTTGTCTCTTACCCAGACACTCCTCATATTTATATCACCTGCTCAGCCCTGGAGGGCATTTGGGTTTTCCAAACCCTGCCTTACACAGTAAAACTGGAGCTATCTGGGATGTGTGTAAGGTGGAAAACTTGCAGTGACGGAAAACTCAAATATTTTCCACTGCTAGCACTAGAAAAGTGGTAAAGCTGGACTTTGTCAAAGGCGGAAAACTTCTGAGACCTGGAAAAACAAGCTAGTCCCATCGAGTTCTAACTTTCACAGTTTCCATATACTTTGTTTTTGTCTCAGCCTGAGGACTTTTTTTGTTTATTTTTAGTGAAGGTTTACAGAGCCGATCTCAGTTTTGCATTTAACGAATCACACACTTGACCCAGTCTTTATTGCAATCATCAGCAGGTAACTACTTAGCTCACATTCGCCCTATGTTACTTGCTTCCATTCCCCCTTCTAAACTGTAAGTAAATGGTTGACGATTCTATGGTGTGCACACCTCACTAGTGTTACTGTCTCCCCTTATATAACTTCCCAGCATTTGGCTGAAAATTGAGCCACGGGGGGTAACTTCAGATCCAGACCTAAAGGATGACCAATGGCCATAGTCTTGGAGTTCCAGCAGTCTCTAATTGACCAGCTTTTTTTTTAAAAAAGAAAACTTACTGCCGTTGAGCCAATTCCAGCTCATAACGACCCTGCAGAAAGTTTCGGAGGCTGTAAATCCTTATGAGAACAGAAAGCCTCATCTTTCTCCTGAGGAGCAGTTGGTGGGTTTGAACTGCCAACCTTATGGTCTGCAGTCCAGTTTTTATCCTACAACATCATACCAGGGTTCCTATCTGACCAGTTAGCAGGTTCCATAGACTTTGTACTCCACAAAGAGCAGAAATTTAAGAAAGCGTCCTTTCGGATGCTACCTCTAAATTACTGTGTGTCCATATAGCCCTGATAGTTGCATGGTACCCAAGGGCATAGTGCTTTAGCGTCTCTTTGGTGAGTCACCTTGGTCCTCTGAAGGGATCTTAGTGGGGCCCTGTCATGTGGTCGAGGCCTCCCAGGGAGGTCTGGTTCTTTAGAACCTCTCCCCAGAGTTCTAGAATTTGAAGAGAAAGTATGAAACTGGAACCTCCCCCTTTTCCAACTAAAAATTCAGCTGCTTACATGCTTCTTGGGCCAAATCAAGTTTTGAGATACTCAGGCTTTGTGTCCTAAGTGTCCAGGGATGCCATGATACAAATAAGAAACGGAGATGGCATTGGTGCCCTTAGAATCAAGGGTCCCCACAGGGCCACCACGTTGCAACTCCAAGAATTTATTCCTCAGACTCCCATGAGAATGGCGCCCCCTGTGGTCACTCAGCACAGTGGCTCTGAGGTCCTATCTCTGTGTTGGTTTCCTGCTCTGCATCCCCCCCATGGCCTTTTGGACCACATGCTGTGTTCTCTGTCCAGAATCCCTGTTACCACCTCAACCCCCACAGTTTTCTATTTGAGTTTCTTGTACCCAGCTCTTGCTCTGTATTTTCCCCCCACGGGGTCTCCTTGTTCACATTTTCCTAGCCTGCCTGTCCCTCTCACTTTCTTCCAGGACCCCCAATCTCTCCACACTGGAGAGTCCTCAGCCTGATTCACCCTATGCATTTCTGAAATCTGAAGTCTGCTTCTGTAAAAAGACTTACGACCTTGGAAACTCTATGAGACATTTCTACTGTGTTCTATCAAGCCACTATGAGCTGGAATCAACTGGCATCGGGAGGTGCAGTCACGAATCCAGATTACAGCTTCACCGGCACCTTATTCTTAGCCAGTGACCTGAAGACCAGGCCCAAGGTAAGGGCTAGAATATTGCCATTGTCCACCAGCTGCAGGCCTGGGGTCTGTCCAGGTTGAATGCAGACTCTGCTCAACCTGAGCCAATCCTCAAAGGCAGCTGCCCCTTCCTCTTCCCTCCACTGTAGGTGGCCAAGTAAAACCGGAAATCCTATTGCGGGCCCAAGCCTGCCCAGTCTCCTAGTTCCTTCCCACGTGCACACACGCACGCTTGCAAGCAGGGCAGCCTGCTCCTGATGAATTCTCTAGCTCCCTGGGAGAGCGTTGATCATTGCCTCCTCTGCGCTCCCACATCCCTCAGACGCCCGGCTATTACTGCACTTACCACATCGTATTACAGTTAGTTGTTTATGTGCCGCTCTGCCACGCTTGTTCAACTGTTAACTCATGGAGGACAAGGGCCGTGTCTGACTCCTTTTTGTGTTTGCTGAGCCTAATACAACAGGTGTTTAGTAAAGAGATACCAAATGAGGTGACCATTTGGTAGCTCTTTACTGAATCTACAGAATGTACATTCTACCAGAGTCTACATTCAACCTGGACGGACCCCAATTTTTCTGTTTTTGCCATCCTATGAATACCTGTCTTCCAAAAAAAAAAAAAAAGCATCCAAACCCAAACCAGTTGCCATCGAGTCGTTTCCAACGCATGTTGACCTCAGGTGTGTGCAGAGTAGAATTGTTCCATAGGATTTTTACGACTGTGACCTTTCAGAAGCAGTTTGCCGGGTCTTTCTTCTGAGATGCCTCAGAACTACCAACCTTTACAGTTCATAGTCATGCGCTCAATTGTATGCACCACTCAAGGAGTGGTCTTTCTTAGGCTTAGAGACTAGTTCATGGCAGGAATACACATGAGACCAAAAAAGACCCTCTACTCCTTAGCTAAAGAACTCTTAGGCTGAGAGCTACAGTTCCAGACCAGGGATTCTCAAACTCACATGCATCACAATTACCTGGAAACGCGCTGCCGTCTGATTGATTCTGACTCATAGCCACCTGACAGGACACAGGAGAACGGCTCTATGGACTTTGAAGACTGTCATTTTTCACAGATACAGACTACCATATCTTTCTCCCCTGGAGTGGCTAGTAGATTTGAACCAGTGTCCAGTGCTTATCATACAGTACCACACCAGGACTCTAATTACCTAGTTGTTGTTGTTAGGTGCCATTGAGTCAATATCAACTCATAGTGACCCGATGCACAACAGAACAAAACACTGCCCAGTCCTGGGCCAACCTCACAATTGTTGCCACGCTTGAGCCCACTGATACTACAACTTTGCCAATCCATCTCGCTGGGGGTCTTCTTCTTTTTCTCTAACCCTCCACTTTACCAAACATGATATCCTTCTCCAGTGACTGGTCCGTCCTAACAATTATGTCCGAAGTATGAGAGACAAAGTTTGGCCAACCTGGCTTCCAAGGAGCACTCTGGCTGCACTTCTTCCAACACAGATCTATTGGTTCTTTTGGCAGTCCATGGCACTTTCAGTATTCTCCTCCAACACCACAACTCAAATGCATCAATTCTTCTAGAGTCTTTCTTATTCACTGTCCAGCTTTTGCATGCACATGAGGTTATTGGAAATACCATGGCTTGGGTCAGGCACACTTTAGTCCTCAAGCTGACATCTTACCTAGAGGACTGGTTAAAATGAAACTTGCTAAGTCCTGCCACTAGAATAGACCTGCAGTGGGGCCTGAGAACTTGCATTTATAACCCATGCCCAGATAATGCTAGCACACACTCACACACACACAAACTCTCCTTGGAAGAATTTAGGAATTGGGTTGAAGAGGAGAAATGATTATTATTATTGTTTTAATTTCCTTTAAAATCCTCCTGCTAATTTTCACCCCTCCTGCTCAATGTTGCCCTCCACATCCCCCATGACCCTTTGAGAAACACTGTAGTTGGAAGATAAAGAGCAACTGGAATTGGTTAGAGGGCTATGAGGACAGAGAACACACAAGGTATCTGGGGGTGACTGTCACCTGGGGGTCAGCTCCTGAGACTCATCTGGCCTAGCCCTAGACTATACTCAAATAGAGTTTCTCCTTGGAGACCCCCAAGACTTACAAAGAACCAGGAACCTCAAACAATGAGAGAGGAAAATGAAGACGAAGTGAGTGCTAGATCTTGTGAGACCAAGAGAGCTGGGCACATCTCAGATGTGCAGGAGGAGGACAAGCTGGCTCGAGAGCTAGCAGAGGCAGGGTTGAATTGATGATAGTGGGATGAATAATACATTAGACGAAATGGAGACTTTGGCAAAGGAAAAAAAAAATCTCTTATTTGACTTGAAAAATAGATGGAAGGACCAACAGGGTGATTCACAGATATAGAAATCACAAATAGATTCAGGACGACTAGGCAGGCAAGAGAGAGATGCACGAAGGATGATCAGAGTAGAAGAAGGCAGGAGAAACAAAGCCCCAAACCATTCTTCTCAAGACTACGGTCCTGATAAAACCCCAAAACTCCACTCCTAGGAAGTTAGGAACTGGTGGAATTTGTTTAATTTTTTTTCTCTCCAGAATTCTCTGATCAAGGCAGACTTATTCAAGCTAATTTTCACTCCTCTGCTTGCCACAGATGTCCAGGCTTGGGCGACATCAATTTCTCTAAGGAACGTGTCTAAGATCTATAAAAACTTTCCCTTCTGAAACCTTTGCTCTTTTGAGTATGCCGAGTGGTCACCAGCACTTCAGTCTAAGAGACTTCTTTGGAACTCTGCTCTCTTCGCCATTAAGGAAAACTGGTTTGTGGCCACCCTGGCCCTGCTTGGACACTTCCCAGTTCTCCAGCATCGCTGGGATAAAAAACAACCTACCTGGTCAGGTAGTAGGCCAAGTAGAGGTTCTGATCTCACACAAGCATGCAATGTCTGAGGGTTACTAATGTCCAGCAGTTCAAACCCGAGTGGCGAGTAAATAGGGGCGGTGGGTTGGAGTTGGAAAGCGCCAGGCAGAGGCCTCACCTTGTAGTTCCGTCCGTGGTAGACCTCACAGTCCCCCTAGATGTCCGGGCCACAGAAGCACCTTACAACCACTTCCCCACCACGAGAAGGAGCTTCGCTTTCTGTCAGCCCTTACGGTCTCTACAGCCAACCGAGTCCCCCCACTCACACACACCGTGATGAGGATAAAGGAGACCGTGGAGCTGCCACCGAGGCGAGCATACCACCTGGCTCCCGAGCGAAGCCCCCAGCACGCTTCACTGACACCGGCACCTGGCCCGACGCCGGCTCGGCCTGTCTGCCGACAAGCCTCCGGACAGGAACAGTGGCGCTGTCACACCCGCTCTGAAGCCAGGCGACCCCATTCATTGACGCGTTCGTCAGTCCGAACTCTTCCATATTCTTTTCTAGGCTACCAAGAGGCCCACGTCCCGACAGCCAGACTCCATAGACCTAAACCTGGTACCTGGGTGGGTGGCAGAGGTCTGTTTCCAGGGATTCCACGGGAGCGGGCCAGCGGCGTGATGCTCCCTGCGCTCCGGGCCCAACCAGCTCCGGCCCCGCCGCCGCCAGTCCTCTTGCTGCCGCACAAAGCGGACAAAGCGGCCCGGTGCCGGCACCTACCTGGGCGCAGAGGGCACCGGTCGTGGCGCGCCGGCCCA